TGCAAGAGCGTCACGATTTTTGTCCAGGTGGTTTCTCTATGGGTGAGAACACTGCCATAGAGCGACATAAGTTCGCCGTGACAGGAAGATGCTTTACTCCGAGTTCATGGCTCATCTTTTGTGGCTCGGCAATGTTTCGTGCAGGTCTACCTCAGGTACTTCATATTAATGTGCAGCAGTTCGTTTGCGAACAAGAAAACAGACCCATTCATGTGTCCATCTTTCCGCCTCTGTATGCACTGTAGGACTTGTGAGACAAAATCATAGACCTGCATACACTCTTGCTGTTGTCTCAGTACCTATAGGCATAAGATTTCAGTGGTCCTTTTTAGGTTCCGCGCATGCTCCATTATGTTTTATGCGCATGCATATTCGTGTGCATCTCTCTCTCTCTATCTCTATCTCTCTCTCTCTCTCTCTCTCTCTCTCTCCGATTTGTATGACTGCTGTTGCTATGACTAGGCTATGATGATGATGATGATGATAATGACGATGATGATGATGATGAAACCGAGTCAGATGATAATGACGATGCTGGTGACCCTACCTATTGACGCGATGAATGGTGTTACCACTACTAGGACTATTCCGATTGTCGGCTAAGCCCTAAACCCTAAACATGATTGTCGTTATAAAGTTACCTTTACCTGTTGCCGTTATTGCTACTGTCGCTATGCACTGCGCATGCTGCTGCAGCCAGTACTACACTGCGACCTCGACCACCCTGCTCCTGGCACCGTGTCTCTCTCTCCCCCACACCCCCCCAAGAAAGCCAGATACGTCCCACAGTGCTGCGACGCTGGTTGGACAGCAGAAAACGTTACCCTTTTCTGATGTTTTGTTGATTCTTAAAGCTGTCAATCTTGACTACACCTTCCAGGGGAGATGTTGTTTTGTTTTTCCTTGATCCCTATCGGAGTTGCTTTTGATCCCAGACTTTGGATTTGTTTTATAATCCCTGTTTGATTCCGCTGGGACCAAAGATCCGAAAGTTCATGTGGTCTTTGAGGCATTCAGTGTTGAATCAACCTCTCAAACTCTAAACTGCCCGAAGTTTGAAGCTTGGATTGCTGAGAAGTCCAGTCGTGCACTCGCACCTGTTTTGAGGTGAGGTTAGGCTTCCGCATGTGCTGCAAGTCTCACGACGTTCTTTTGCAGTTTCATAGCATAAGCCCCATCAATGTCCAGAAACGTGAGTAGAGAGACGGCCAGCAAAGCGGCTCAGGAGCTCTTGCGGAAGCCTCTTGGGCCTCGAAATGATCGACCTCGTCTTGTGTACTTCCCCTCAGGAGGCACTCTTCGAAGGGTTTTGTGCCTGGGTGCGTCAGGATCTCTCCAGGGTTCTTGACCATCTACTCTACTTATTGGTGGGGATGAGAGTCTTTTTCGGTGATCAGGTGTTCCGCTGTTGCGGTGCCACGACAAAGGCATAGGGGCTCTGCGGGGTGTCCCAAGAACCTCGTTCAAGGGTTCGATGATTCATTCCATTCAGGACCGCGTAGTCAACATTACACCACAGGTCTAAACAAGCCTTAGGCCTCAGGGTCCATGTGATGTTCTCAACAACCTTGTTCACTTCTCATCTTTGTGCAAGCTTTTGCGGGGATGTTCTGCAGTGTGGCTGCAAGCAAGACTTGCTACAAAAATGCCGTTTAAGGACAGGTGAGGGCGGAGGGCTTGCTGCACGTGCGCATGATATGAGCCGACATCTGCAAGTTCCCAGAAAATCTGCCATTGAAAGTCACCTGAGCTGGATGAATTTGAGAAGGGTGCATGCGACGCCGGCGATGCCACCCATAGAGGGACGTCGCAGAACGGAATCGGAATCGCCCTCACTGGAAGTGGGTTGCCTTCGAGAACTCTTTATCGTATGCCCTAACCAACCTCTATAACAACTCTCAACACTGAACCGAAGCATCAGGTGATCGTGAACTTCACCAGCCAAGATGCCTGCAGCTGCACTATTGAAGCTCAGTGCGCAGTTTGATTTGGGGAAGTATGTAGGTTTTCAGATTCTGCCGGCTTTGACGTCCCAGACCCTGAACCCCAGGCCCGCTAATTTCGAGCCCAGAGCTTGGATCTTCGGGAGGCCCGGCCCGGGCCCTGCAAAGATCCCAGAGTTTCTATTATTGTCTCCTGAAAGCCATGTAGGGTACCCTAAACCGAATTCAATTCGGAGTGAATCAGCTGTACTGCGTCGAATACTGAATACGAGGACGGCTGCTTTGTGAAATCCACATCTGGAAGCCGCAGTAGCAAATCACCCTGCCGCCAGAGCCGAAACTTGCGCTCGTTCAAGGGACTCTGACGGTTAGCTGTGACTCTCCGCTATCACCACTGCCAGCCATGTTGAACAGTAGTTTCCTGAGTTTCATTTTCATAGAACAGAATAAATAGAACAATTATTAAGTATATATTCATATACCTATGTATCTGTATATATATATATATACACATACACAAATATCAATAAGACAATGACTCATGCGCAGGCTGTATC